AACGTGTTTTTTTCTCACTTAGCGAAACTAAACTTGGGGATCAAGTTCAAGGGTCGTCATTCAACCAGCGCTGCGCTACCCCCAAAATCTTTCAAGTATTGACTACTGGTTTTTTTTTTTTCCCTTTATTTTCAACATCTGAGTTTTCAATTTTTTAGTATCAATTTATTTATTTTTTTAATATATTTGGGTTGAAAAAAATAAAGAGAAAGTAAAAGAAGGATAAAATTTTTCTTTATTTAATTATAAAAAAATTAAAAAGAATAAAAAGAAAATTTTATTTTATTTTTTTAATTTATTAATTTATTCAAATAAAAGGAAAAGAGGGGAGAAATGGAAGTATAAAATTTTTCGTTCGTCTCTTCCCCTTCCTTGTGTTCCCCATAGTTCAAACATGCAGTTAATATAAAGGAATCATTACCCTTGAAAGATATTTTATGTATACAGATAAAAATTGAAAAAAAATTAATATATTTTGATAATTAAAATATTAAAAATAAAAAATCAATAAATTAATATAAAATAAAAATATTTAAATAATTTTATATGATAAATAAATAATAATTAATTTTGTATAAATTAAAATTTTTTTTAATATTTTTATTTAAATTTAAAAAAATTAATTATTATTTATTTATTGTATAAAATTATCAAGTAAATTTATATAAAAGCAAGAAACTATAATAACTAAAAAAAAAAGAGAGAATAGCCTAAAAAAATACAATAATTATATCTTAACTTATCTCAACAAGTTAGGAAAAACTATTTCTTTATTTAGTATTAATATTGGGCCTAATCTGCTTTCTCGGGTAACTTAGCCTGATCTGCTGGTGAACTTACAATCCCTCCCTCCCTCCCTCCCTCCTTGTGCCCACCCTAATCCCTATACATGAAATAAAAATAGCCTTCCTGCAACCACTTGCGCTTAGATCAGTTTTCTTAGATGGGGGCAAGCTCTAATCCTCTACCAGAAGAGAAGAGCTTGTTGTTGAGATATCGTTGTGGCTACCGTTAGACTTCTTGATACATCTCAAACACGTTAGAGATTTGCTCAATAAAAACCCCAACTTTGTCGCCAAGTATCATCACAACCCACTCTACCTCCAACAACAGTCTTTGCTTTCTTCTCCAAGATTGGATCTGTTTCGATCCACATGATCGTGAGAAAGGTGAAACCATTTTATCATTTCCTTACATATGATAATAAGATGATGCAAGCACTTCCCGAACGAGATGATTTTCCTTTTTCTGGTTAAGCATGTGAGCTTTCCATTATACAAGGAGCACCAATATTGTGAAATTTTGGGCAGTTGTTAAGCATGTGAGCCTTCCCTATCTAAAACAATATATTTGTCCATTAATTATGGGATTCAAAAAAACCTATAAATGCACTAATTAAAGAGAAATTAGTGCATATTCAACTTCCTCAAAAAAGCTGAGATATACACTAGTTGACAACAACAACATTTTTATGTTGGGGTGGGTAAGTTTCGGTCAGCTGAACAGAAATCGCCAGACCGCCTAAAATTGGGTAGGTTTTTCATCAACTTGTTGGGTTTGAGCATAAAAACAATAATTCTGGCTTAAATTGGAAATCTAATTTGGTGGGGTTCGACTGTAAGACCCAATCACCGAAAACTAGTGGACTAGACCCAATAAAACTGAAGTCCAAACCTCAATTGTCTTTTTGTTTTGATTTTTTTAGATTCTCCATGCGATTTTTTTGGTAATAATTAAGAAGTTAATATGAATTAGTTGTTAGCAATTGGGATTCTCAAAATGATGAACATTCCACCCCCTCAAATGAAGCGCGCGGTCATTAGATCGCAAGTTGATAGAGTTCACAGCAGTAACAAAACTCAAAACCCTAATCTCTATCTCACCTAAGTCTTAAGGCTTGGAAACGAACCATTGGGTTTCAAGCCGGTTCGCGATTCTCCATGCGATTTGGTTACCGTGTTTGGTATCTTTTCCCCTCACAGCATATTTGACTTTTTAAATTAAAATTTTATTTGTCCGGCGTAATCATTAAATATTTGATTTATTTTTAGAATTATGTTAATTTAATTTTAGTCATTGAATTTAACTTAGTTTAGAAAATCTAAACCCTATTTTTTCTTTCTTTCTCACCTCTTTCTTTACATTTCAAATCTCATCTTATGCATTAACTCTTAGTTATAAGTGAACAACATGCTACCACTAAAACGGGGTTAAATAGGCCCAATTTGATCCCTCTACTTTGAAAAGGAAAACCCTTTTTTGCCCCTCTCTTTTGAAATAATTGACAAGTAATGTCAAAACTTAATAAAAGGATTAAAAAGAAACCGGATTTCGAACTTTATAAATCAAAAAGGATTTTTTTTTTTAAGTTTTGGGACTAAGAAAGAGCTTTTTACCAAAGCAAATGGACTAAGTTGGGATTTTAACCAATTTAAAAACAGATTTTCTAATACATAATGTAAAAAATTTTGCACACTTTATCCTCTAATCTAATTAATAAATACAACTTACATTTTACATTTCTTTAAAATAACTTTTTCTTTTTTTTTTAACTTCATTTTTTTTTAATTTTTAATTTAAATAGAGTACAAAGAATACTTCTATTTATAAAATAATTTTATCATCGAAATAATTAAAAAATACACAATATATATAAAATTGTTGCTAATTATAACTTTAAAAATATTATTGCTAATTATCAAACGCAATTAAAATTTTTTAACAAAAAATTATTATAAAATTCAAAAGTTGATAATATATAGTATAAAATTTAAATTCTAATATGAAAAGTTAAAGCATAATCCGTGCAACGCACGGACG